ATGACTCACTTGCTCTATATCCTTCCCTTCCATCTGCTCTAGCCCTTTCTATTTGACCGGACTGTATTAAGATGTACTATTCTGTCGATCTAATGATTTCCAGTCATTTATTTCCTGTAAAATAAACCCTCCTTACACAGAACGTCTGTCCTTTACTGCTTCGTCTTTACGACCATCTGCAGTGACTCATGTGTCCCAGAGGCAGAGCACTGACAAACAGAACACGACAGCAGCCGCGTACAAATGAGACGGGACAGACTGTGATGAGGATGAGGTTCATTTCAGTCGGTTAAAAACTGCACCGGACGGAAGAACGTTTTATGGCGACGTGTCAAAGTCTACGTTGGCTATAAACATAACACAACACATAACAAACCACTGACTGTAGAGAAATGAAAGGGAAACCAAAACATCTCAATGGCCCCCTGCTGGCTGGTTGCAGTATAGGTCATAAATCTCGGAAGCCTCCTCCATGTTAGTTGAAAAATATGTGTCAAACGTATTTTTCTCAAGGAATATTTTCTATGTTTGGCTCTTATCACACTGATAAGTATGATTTCAAGGTATTCGATTCTGTAAAAGTCAGTCAAGATTGGTCAAGCATGTGTATCAGTGGGACCTTGATACTGCAGCTCCGTCGCCAAATTGCAGCAGCAACAAACACACAAACTCAACTAGCATATGCATTTTTACTTTATTAAACATTTTGTCCATGAGCAGAGTATTCTCTACTTCTTGATTAAACTGCAGTTTTTGTCTGAGTTGTGCAACAAATTGTGAGATCATAAAAGCCAGAGTGTTGTCAGTGAAACCGTAGGAGATGCTGCAGACTCCAGCTTTCCGCCTTCGCAGAACTCAGAGCTGCAGTCACATGAAATCGTGTCCAAAGTCTGCAAACTACACTCAAACAAGAAACCTTATCAGGATGTGAGATTGGGTATTCGGGATGTTTGAAGCTGCCTTCTGAATGAGGCAGGGCAGAAGGTGAATCGGCTTTTTGCATATGGAGTCACACCTGTTGTCTCCATCCAGCTCGGGCCTGTGCAGCCAGTCGGCCTTATCTCTCTGCTGAGGTTTTTTTTTTCTTCACAATCAGTGTATTCAGTAGGTCTTCCAACAACATTTAAAAAATGATGCATAGTCTTAACATGTAAAGGGGGCAGCCTGACTTTGTGAAGCCAAAACATATGATTAGCCACCTTAGCAACAGCTGAAATATGACGGCAGTGTTCAGTTTACAGTTAAATTGCATTAGTTTTTTTAGGTTGGCCATGATTTGTGCAGCAGTGTTATGCACTGTCCACGTCTTGTTCCAACTGGTTCCTTGTTTTAAATTCTGCAGCCTGCAGGGCACAACCATGCTTAAAGTGACCAACACTTACATGCACCTGCGCTCCAATCAGGACGTGCATTGAATGCATGTTTTTTTGTCCTGTGCAGATGTTTGTTGATGAAAATGTTGAGAAATGTGTTGGGGGGTTTTTTTGTGCAGGATTTGCACAATGAAGACCAGACTAGGCTGCCTGTCCAACAAATCGGACTCCTACAGTGACTTCTCCGAGTTCCTTCCTCCTGCCCACGAAACTACTGCCAGGTGTCTGAAGTAAGTCGGCCAAACCATCGTGTGTCTCCTTCTGTTGCACTACAACAAGCAAACTGACAAATCCAAAGATACAAGATTTGATTTGACTTTACAAGTCCAAGCAGTAAAGTGTTTTTTTATGGACAGAAAAATGTATCTTTTAATCATGTGTATGCATTCTACGACTTTGGATGCACAGTAATACCAATACCTCTGCACCACTGTGATGCCACATCCCATCCAACACGCCCCCTAACAAGCCCAGGTAAAGCCAGAGCGACGGCCGACATGTGCCACACACGCTGGAAGCTGTTGACCAATCACAGCGGAGTGGGTCAGCTGGCCAATCAGAGCAGACTGGGCTAATCGGGAGCCTTAAAGACACAGGAGCTAAAACCAAGCGTGCAACATCAAACTGTTGATGTTTCTGTAAATTATGTTAAAATCTTAAAACTTTCTTCTTAAAGATATATTTTGAACTTAAGTGAGATTTTCTGTGTAATTTATTGCATTTCTGTTTGTGCGATTTGATACCAAACATTTCCGTGAAACAATTACGCTATATTGTTGTTTTTTTCCGCTGTCACTGCAGAGAGACATTTTTTATCAGTCTGATTAAATGACTTAATTCTCATTGTGATATACCAGAAAGCCTTTGAGCAAACGAGGTCAGTCATTAAGCTTGTTAATGGCTTGATTTGCATTCATTCGGAGGTTGCAGAGCTAACTTTCAAGAACATGTACTTTCGCTCAACTTGTCCATTAGTGCAATGATTTCTATGCAAAGTATTTCAGCTGTAGTTGTTCTGGCACATAATCGTATCTCTGACTTTAGTCAATCCTCGGTTTATGTAACACGAGTGGGATTCACAATATTCCATGTACCATCTACCAAAGGGTACAGTTGTGTGTATCCCTTTAATCTCCATCTTGGTGTGTTCTCATGTTTTCAGCTTCTCATAAAGAACGTTAACATGTGAACAAAGGTCAGCCGTTGTTCTTCTGTTCCTTTCCTCCCTCCAGATATCACAATTACTTTACAGGCTTACAGAGCGAAAGAGCCGAACCGCTGTGAGCAGAAAATAAATCATACATTAACCTCATCCGCCCTTCAATAATACATACAGTACCATCCTGTGTTAAAAATGCATGACAGCACAGTGGTTGGTTCAAGTCTCACTCAGTCTCTCTTTGACTTTCTGTCCACCAGACTGTCGACGGACGAGGTCGTTCGATGGTCTGAATCGTTTGATCACCTCCTGTCTCACAAATGTAAGTGGACTACTTCTGTTTTTCATCGGGGACAGTGCCTCCTGCAGAAATCGCATGGAGGCACCGTCCAGTCTCTTTCCCCAGTGATGAGTCACATAAGTTGTTTCGCCGCACAAGGAGTGATAAAAACTGCGGAGAACATCTCAGTTAAAGATCACTTTTTCACTCAGAGAACCAAAGGTACATTTAGAACCAACTAGAATAGCACTCAGCAGAGCACATCCCTCTGCCAAGTCCCAAAGACAGCGTACAGATGTGGGCCACTGCAGGCAATGATGCGGCACAAAATGGATGTGAGCCTGAAGCCGCCTTCTAAAATAGCAAATGTGGCCCAGATATCCCAAAACAAATGTGGGCAAACATGCTGCGCTCTTGGCACGTTGTAATCTGGATGTGAACCTGAAGCAGCCCATATGGTGAATATGACCCAAACACAAATTTGGGCCACCTTTTGCTCCATTGGTTGACGGGCGGCATTGCTACAGCTTGCACGTGGCTCAGATCTGGCAAACAGAAGCCAAGTGCCATCATTCCATGCAGTATGTGGGCCGGATGACGGAGTCAATCTGGGTCAATGTGAAAGAATAGGATCTTCCCCTTTGTCTAGATCAGCACCAAAATGTGATGTGTTCTTTTTTGACCCAAGTCTCACCCGGCCACCAAGTTGTAGTTTTCTTCATTCGGCTCCTTCCAGGCGAAGATGTTTTTTTTTTCTCGTCTCTTTGCACCGAGAACATTTCAAGCAAATTGCTGCAGCTTCTCCATCGTATCCAACACAGTTCAGTTGTGACATAACACAATAGTTTCACACATTAGAAAAACATTGTTACCGAACCAAAAATACAGCCTCCCCCAGGCGGAGGGAGCGATACACCTGTGTATCCTGTTTCAATTGACCAGGCCTTAGAGGGGGTGACTTACAATGTACATGAACACTAACACATTACGTAAGTAATGGAAAAGCAAAGGAACACAGTACTGAATGTTCCCTCGATAGAGCATCCACATTGGCCTTAATTTGATTCAATAAGAGATCCGGTATATATCATGCTCAGACCTGACTGCATCCTCCAGTGTGTGAAGTGACTGTGTGTGACCCGGGGGCCTGACCTGTGCTCGCTGTCGTCACGTTGTACCGGAACATTAGGTGAGGTAGGCCAGCAGCAGGGATGTGCTCTCGTGTCAGGGTGACAGTTTGTATTTTAGCTCAGGTGTTAAGACATGAATAAAGATTAAATGTCAAAATGTTGAGAATTAGAGCCGTCACCCTTTTCTTAGGGAAACGTTCATATCCAAACTATAATGAGCTGTTTGAATTCATTCTAGAAATCTTCAAAAGCTCAACTTTATTCTTTTATGTCATTTTTTGTCAAAGTGCAAAAGAGAAGTCATCGGATTTATTTTGCCATTCTCGACATTTCAACTTCGATCCAAAAAATATTCAACTTCATTTTAACATTTCCATTTAATTCTTGAAATGCAAGAGGAGAAAAATGAAACTCTTGATTTAACTGAGCATGTTTCCATCGTGGTGGCCGCTGCATCCTGAGACTAATCGTGAAGCTGCAGAGGGAGTTGAGTACAGCGAGCTGCTGCTAATTACCTGGATAAATTTGCATCTGCAGACAGTCTCCTGTCAGTTCATCAAGTTCTCCTGCAGCTCTGAGTTTGTGCTAATTTACCAGTAACCTACATTCGATTCTTCACACTCTCAGCCTTATTTATGCCTCTCTCCTGCTTCCCCTCCATCCCCTGCTGTCGATTAGCACCTCCACACAGATTAGATCTGACCTCGTTTTCACAGAGCGACAAGATGGAATGAAACCTTCGTTAGCAGTTTCTAAGTCTGCGTCTGTGTCTGTGTAAACCATGAGACAAAAAAAAATGAGACAGAGCATCACATAATCAACTCAACCATCTTGAGAACTAATTAGCATTCACATGGGTGATGAACTGTTTTTCCGAGATTAACTGCAGAGTGCAAACACCAGAGAGACAAAGATAAAAAAAAAACAAGCCTTTCAGTTAATGATTCGCTCCAAACATTATTTATCAGTGGTCAAGTTTAGGCTGCAAGTGTTTTGTTTAGTTTACTTTAAGGAAAGATCCTGGATTTGGTTTAAAATGTAAAGCGTTCACATTAACATTAAATAGTTTAATAATGTTCTTGTCACTTTCAGGATGTTGCTCTGCAAGATCAGATATCTTGGTTGGTAGGAAATTGACAACCTCAGAGTGTTTTTTTACTAGAAAGTTCTAGAAAGTTCAGGAATCTGAGAGTAAAAGGTGTCAACCCTGGAGATTTCAGTGTGACTTCTATTTTTTTTAGGACTTCATCAAAACATCAGCGTAGTGAGTGTGTGTGTGTGTGTGTGTCATGCAACCTGCATGTTTGTGCTCGTACGCTCATGAGAATGTTTTTTGCTGTGTGAGTAACAGTGTTGCATATGCACAGACGGACCATCCCCTCTGCTCGGCTCAGCTTAATTAGGTAAACAGCAGAAATGGAACGCTGGAAATAACATGTCAACGTGACACAGGCCCGCAGAAAAACATGCCCTTCCTTTGTGTTATTACAGCGGAGAGTACGTTAATCGATCACTCGTCTTGACTGATAAAGACAGAAAAACAGTTTCTCTGTGGGAGTATTTTGTGCAGATGTTTGTCTCCTACACGTAAGAGCCCTTTTCCCGCTCCTGGGAACAACAGTGTGTACGCACTGGAAAATATCCACAGAGAATGAAGGGTATTATCACTTATCACATGGTTGAGCTGAGAAAGAAAATACATCCGTAGAAGAAGAAGTTATCTGCTGCTGCCTGAAAATAAGTGTTAGGCTGGAGTATCAATCATGTTTTTCTTGTGTTTTGTTCTTGTTTTAGTTTCCTCCTTCCTCTCCGTCTGATTCATGCTGTTCTTTTCCAGATGGCCTCGCTGCCTTCCGGACATTTCTCAAGACGGAGTTCAGCGACGAGAACATCGAGTTTTGGATGGCCTGCGAGGAGTACAAGAAAATCAAGAGCTCGACAAAGCTGGTGTCAAAAGCAAACAAGATCTTTATGGAGTTCATCGACGTTCAGGCACCAAGAGAGGTGTGTGTGTGTGTTGAGTATAAATGATTAGATATTACATTATTGTGATTTCTTGGAATTATTACAATGATAATGAAAGATACCAAGTTCAGGTTTTACTTTCACATGATACATGACAGAACCACCATTTGGTCCAATCAGAGGAGAAGGTCTCAGTCTGGAACAAATGGATTTGTTCATTTCTGGTGTGAAATCACTTTTTGAATGGTTCAGACTAATCACAGGAAGCTGAGTCAATCTTGTCACCAATGAAATAATAAAAGAAGAAAAACTAGAATAGCACAAACCTTCGCCGAGGCTCACTTACATGTAATGAAGCTGCAGCAAATTGTGCACACAGTCAGACATCAGTCCCGTAAGTATCCATGATCTTTTTCATCTAGACATCGTGGAAGCTCCTTAAAACTCCGTATCTCACAATGTTTAATGTTGAGTAAGTGCTTCCTTGGCCCATTGCACATTATTCCTCCAATTTCCATCGTAATCCATTCTGTAGATTTGTGTAACGTCGCCAACTAAGAGATAATTAAAGAAAGAAACCAAAGAATCCAAACGAAGAGACTTTGGGAAGTTGTAAAACTGAGAATCAGAGGAAATATTTAGTTTGTCAAATCAAAAGCCTTAATAATCATAATAATGAGTAAATAAACTCGGTGGAGGTAATGGAAATATTTTAATTGTGGTTAAAAGAAAACTATGATATGTCCATATATAGTTTTATTTTCCTGTGGTATAGTGTGATGATAAAACATCACACTAGCTCTACATCCCCTCTGATATCATATGAGCAGGTCCTTATCAGAAAAATGTATTTAAACAAACAACCAATTTAATTAAGTCTGTTTTAATTAATTAAATTTCCACTCGCTCCTTTCCGTCTCGTCTAAAATACGAACTCTCGGCTTCTTGAGAATCAACCTCAGCTCAGCTCAGAGTGAAGCAGATACAGGCACCGTTGTTATGTGTCACCGTCAGGATGTGAATTCACGTGAGCCGCCGCTGTCGTCGTCTCTTTATCTCTGGCAGGTAAACATTGACTTTCGCACCAGAGAAAAGACCAAGCAGAGCCTGGAGGACCCGTCCCCCAGCAGCCTCAACGAAGTCCAGGCCAAAGTCTACGGCCTCATGGAGAAAGACTCCTACCCTCGATTCCTCAGGTCCAAGATGTACCAGGAGATGGTGAACAGGGCCCACGCACAAGGCCAGCGGAGGTCGGTTTGAATCCCTCGACGACCACACAGGACGTAAAAAACTGGACCTATACTGTAAATCACTCATTAACCCTTTGACATCATCTGTCAATACTGTGAATCTGCGATGGAAGGGGCGACACGCTCGACTGTTTCCTGTGTCCACAGCAGCTCCGTGCATGAAATCCCTCTAGATAAGATGTGTGCGGGTGAACTGAGCGGTCGAGGGAAGAGGAGGAGATTTATTTATCGCTGGGTGATACGTCTGAAAATACTGTCGTAGTAAAAATATGCGATAACGATATTTATTACGATGTATGATTTCAATGTTAAAAGTCAGAAAAGCAAATGTTCAAATTAAATAGTCTTCGTACCAAATTACGAAAGGAAGATGTTTTTTTTTCCTCAAAAGATGAATCCGTATTTTTCTTTGATGAATTAAAGCTTTTTATTTGCATACGTTAAAATATTCCTAAATGTTTTAATTCAGACTGTAAAATAATCACAAAAATAAATTTTAGATTTTTAAATTTACATCTTTATCTTCTCCAGTGTGTATTTTTTCAGTCATTTCCATTGAAGTATAATTATTTATATTTATCATAATAAACGTGATTATCCTCCATCCAAAAGATCGTACATCGAGATAATTATCGTTGTCGCTTTATCGCTCAGCAGCTCCTCCTCTCAGCTCTTTGTGAAATAGACACTGTCGTGTTCAGGCGACTGCTCCTGTCGTGGTAGTTTGTGTTTACACTGAACAACAACGTTTTATATCTGAAACTGTGCCAAACTAGACTGCACTTAGGTATTGATTATAGCTAGACTATATAATCCTGTGTACTGTAAACTCTTGCAGGTATTCTATGTGATATATAATGTGGAGTATAAGACTGGGTTGGATTTGAAGTGTTTGCTTTCAATTCATTCAATTCAGGAAAATGAAATCGTGTGATGTATGTGTTAAACTTCTATATATATGCAGTGCATTGGACCAAAAACATCTTTTCAGTTCTGTTTTCTTCAAGCATCTTTTTTGAAACGACATTAATCTTTTTTAAATACGCATCAAGTTGAGCAGTCAGTGCTTCATTAAACTGCAAATGAAACTCTGGCTTCCCGAATTCAGTTTTTGGAGTGAATTGAAAGCACAGACGGTCCAGCCCCCATAGAATCTGTCAGAGTTACAAACTGTGTTGTGCAAATTCTCCTCAAATATTTCCAGCATGATGCAATTCACAGAATAAAACTTAGATATTCTTTGATTTGTACAGAATGACATGAAAATGACTGCAAAAAAAAAACTTGTGTGCTCCCCCCAGTATTTGCACTCCTTTATAATAAGCTAACTGAAAAGATTTCCTGGGGAGGTAAATGTTTTCTTTAGTGCATGTGTACTGTGAAGGCCAAATATGTTTGTAATAGGACCGGCCGAACAACATATCACCCCAATATGGTATGTTACTGTGTTCCACATGAATGTAACCTCCCCCTCTATATTTTGCGATTAAACTGAAACTGCATCTACGTGTTGTGCACTGCATGACTTTGCTGCTATAATACCAAAAGCGTATTAGAGCCTTGAAAATGCATTCATCCACCGATTAGACAGGCGGATTAACCTTGATTCCATTTTTCGATTTTATAACCAGACACACACACAAAAAAAATCCTCAATCTGCGGTGAGTCAACGCTGTTATTTCAAAATATAATTAGAACAAAACGATGGAAGGGGAATAATAGAATAATTTGATCGCTTCGCAAACGGCAGATCATTTCTAGAACTTCACATCCATTGATTTTGCAGCTGTTGTCGACGTGTGAGTCACTCAAGCTGTCCCACATCCCCCCCCCCCGCCCTTCATCATCTATCTGGGCCAGCAGAAGACAAACGCACACTCTCTGTGGAGGTGACTCCACATCCAGCGTCGACTCATCGTAGAACGACGTTTGTGAAAGTGCAAATGACAGTAACGCAGGTCTGCATGAGTGAGTAGAGCATGAGGAGGTGCTGCTGTGTTTTAAATGAGATGGGTTGTCACTGCTCTGCAGCTGTAAATACACGGCTTTTCACATACAATGTTCATTTAGCTGGAAAGCAAACACATGCACGACTTTACAAACAGTCAAAGGGCCTCGTCCGCTCCTGTGTAAACCTCGGATTTCCGCAAAGAGGTTTTATTTTCGTCTTGGCCACAATGCAGCTGTCGAGCCTGAAAACTCAACCTCCTCCTCTCCAATGAAATCAAAGCAAAAGATAAGATTCATGAGATTTTTCATTGACAGAAACGAGCATGAATACTGTAGCGATCATATCTGCTCCGTCTGTTTCCCTCCCTCCTCTGCTGCTCTTCAGTATCGCTCTGGATCCCTCCGCTCTCGTAATCAATAGTAAACACAATACCCACAGTGCAGCGCTGCCATGACTATGGATCGTGGCGAGGATGCGGAGGACAGTTGATTTCTCCTCCTGTTCACACAGACGGGAAAAACAACAAAACAAATTAAGACTGTCGGCTTTTCAAGAACCAGAAAACAGAACAGGATAATCATATCGGACACGGTCTCACATGACGCTGATGATGAAAGATGTAAATGTGATGGTCAACTGCCCACAAATAAGCTTTACCTGGGCTCGTAGAGGATTCTGATTGGTCTTCTCACTCATTACATACTCAGAAGATGAATGTATTGACAATTGAATCGTGCGTTATTTAGAAATACTTTAATACAACAACAGCTAAATAAGCAAATACGCAGAATACTGCTGTTGTGTAAGTAAATACATTATATTTTTACTTAAATAACAGATCATGGTAGTTTACATAAAATACAAACTGTACAAATATAAGAACTGAAACTTATATATTGTTTAATGAGAGACAAGGAGAAAAATACATTTTCTTGATATTGTGTCTTTTGTTTTAATATAATACAGTTTGCCATTGTGGTCAAAATGTAAAGAGCAGCCTCTATAGGTATAATGTTCATACCTCTATGCATCTCTTTGTATGTTGTACCCTGACTCTGTAAACCTTCATTGAGTACAGCGCAGGTTATTATTTTTAATCTCTGTGAATAACATTACCTGCCATTCCCTCATATTGACAGAACTGAATGTTTGTTATGATCTCCACGGCAGCGGGTACATTAGAGCTGTGTGTGTGTGTGTGTGTGTGTGTGAGATGTTGACGAGAATCAGATATCAGTCCTCTTGTTGTCTGGATGTTTCACAACCGCAGCGCTGGAGAACCGCAGGATAAAAATAAAAAAAACAAAGCCATCCAGGGTGGAGTTAATGATTATCCCGGATTTCTCCGGGGCACGTTCTACTGGTAAAGGACCACCCACCCGTTTACCATCGAATTCGTGGCCGTGGAATCTGTTTGACCTCGTCTGCTCCGTCAGATACTCACACAGATACAGCTTTTAACAGCCCTGTTGATATTCTTTCTATGAAAGTATACTTCGTTCTAGTTTATAGCTCAGCACTGTAAAATGAATAATGGAACTAAGGGGCTTCTTCTCACAATTTAAACCAGAGAGACGTCCATTACTGACTTTAGAGACTGAACTCGCTGATCTCTATAAACAGATTATACATGTTATTCATTATCCCATAAGATCAAATCAAAGTTTGTGCTTGTCGACTGATGTTTGAAAAATAAAATGCTTTCGCGAGGGTTTGTGGGGCGCTTCGTCAAATACGGTTCGTAAATGTAAAACTGAATACACACAAAAAAAATGTTAAAAAGAAGAGGCAGCGACATGTAGGTCATAGAGAGAAGAAGAGAGGAAACGGAAACGTGTTTTCTACGACTGATGCTGTAGGATTTTAAACTCGAAGTTTGCAGGGACGTTGAACATGTTAAAAAAGTTGTAGTCAGCCTGTATAATGACATTAAAATGCAGAGCAGCTACATTGTTAACGTGAGAAATATCCAACAGCATTGAACACCCTGGTTTCAGAACATACATGAACTTCAATGACATTATGTCAAAGCAGCCACAACCATACGACGTGAGTTATCTACTTTAATTTCTACATTGTTCATAAGATACGCAAAGTAAACTTCTTATTATTATTAATTGAAATCACATATTTTTATCTACTGATACTAAAGTACTCTAGTAAAATGAAAGTTTTTTTGTTGTTGTTAACTTTAACGTAAAATTGACAAGGTTGATAATGCAAGTTCTATTTCCATTCCTTTGTCAGACATTTAGCTCCGCACTACTACTGACTAATTGTTTAAATTCCACAGCAGATTAAACTGCACAAACTGCGTCTTAACATCAAAGATATTTCTGGATATTTTGTAATAGATTGAAATTCTGCAGCTTTAGTTCCACAGACATGAAATCAAAAGAAGAAGTCCTGATCTTAAAATGATTAAATAGTAAAAAAAACAAGACAGAGAGAATTAAAGCCACAGATTATCACTTTGAATCTCAGAGCAGTTTGCGTACTCCAGGCTCGGCTGATCCTTTGTGGAAACCGTCCCCTGGGACTAGTTATAGTCACAGTGTTGAAGTGGGAGTACACTCCAGTGGTTAATGTTTAACAGCCACAGTGAGCATCTGGTCCTGCCCCGGAGCAGCCTGCTCCCCCGCTCCCCAGAGGACAGTCAGAGAGATGAGCAACCTGAGGCTCCGACACACACAGCGAGACGCGTCCCCTCAGAGGCCGTGTCACAACTGTCCAAAGTCCAGAACTTTTTGTTCAAGTTGGGATTAAAGCGAGTATCTGCACGAATCGAAGATATGTAAATATCTGGCATCCCGATCCGTCTTTGACTTTCGTCGGCCTCATTTAAAGAGCTGCAGCAGTAACATTACGTGATTACACAAAAACCACTGGACGGATTAGAAAAGACATTTTGGTGATGATCCGGATCAAAGGGGCAGATCCAGGATTCTGTTAATTCACATTAGGGTGTTTTTCAACCTTTTTCGAAAATGTCTCATATTTAAAAATCCGGTTCGGGGGAATTTAAATGTTGTTTCATAAGAGGACTGCTGGTCCTTGGTGGAGGTATGAGCTCTCCTCTAGT